CCTAAACAGATTAAATTTACTCCAATACCCTTAATTTTTTTTTTTTTTTGTCTTCGTGGATAAAAAAAAATCTTGTGCGTCATCGTCTTCCTTCTGGCGTCCGCCGCCCAACTCGCCGGCGATCGATCCTCTTTCTCTCTCTCAGCTTAAGGCAGCGCAAAATCCAACCTCGAAGCATCATCAAGGGCAACGAGTCGCGCCTTGCCGCCGAACTCGCCGTCGCGTCCGTCCTGCTCAACCACGAGTAGAATCGAGAGCGAGAACCTTAAAGGAGAAGGATGAGCCAATTATTTGAAAGTTGTAGCTGTATTCGTGGGAACTTAGAAATGGATTAGTTAGGGGTTCTATATCTATTATCAATTGGTTGATTTATCGAAATTGAGGGTTGATTCCTTTCTCATTGGAGGAGCTTAAGGTTATATCAGAAGATGCAATGGATGATTGGCGTAGTTATGTTAGGTCAGGTGGTATGTGCAATCTTATTGCATCTGTTCAACGGTTAGATTTTTTTCAATGCAAGGAGGTAAGGCCGTAAGGGAGATAGAACGAGGGTGCGTCGGTGGAATGGGAGTTGCCGTGGGGTTGGAGAACGGCAGCGGCGGCCGGCAATGGTCTGGGGGGCCGGATAACACATGGAGGTAGAGATTAGAGAAATCGGATCAGGGTTATAAACGTCAATTCAATATTGTTTAGGGCGAAATTTTTTAATATTTAGGGCGACGAATAGCGATTCAGAAATAATAAGGCTTAATTGCAAGTTTGGTCACTCGAATTGCTATAAAATTTCACGTTTGCCACTCAAATTAATTTATTTCATTTATAGTCACTTAAATTAGGTTAACAGTCCAAGTTTGGTCACTGGCCGTTAGTCTCCGTTAACTTTTGCTGATGTGGCGGTCAACTCTTATAGTTGACCGTTAAATGAGTGACGTGGCGATTAAAAAATTAATAAAATAATTTAATTTAATTATTTTTTATTTTCCACCTAATTATTATAAAAATAAAAATAAAAACCTAATTCCTTTTAATTGTTATTTTCCACCGCTCGTAGTCGTTCCTCTCCTCTCAGGTCGACGACCTCTCCCGGCCGGCCAAGCTCCGTGTGGTGGAGGAGCAGTAGGCGGTGGCGGAGGAGGAGGTGGTGGAGCGGTGGCTTCGTTGGGCCCGTAGTCGTTTAACCTTGCAGTTTTCATTTTGGGTTATATATAAGCAATAATAAATGTATGAGAAAGCAGATGATGGATCCCACCAGTATATATTTCACCATCCCTGTGAGCGAACTCCCTTCTTCTCCTTTGTGACAATCTAGGATGAAGAGCCCCAATTGCAACAGTAGTAGTCCATCTTCCTCCTCCTCGCCTTTTCCTTCTCCCACATCTGTTATTCCCTCACCAACCCGGGGACGACTAGGAATCAATCCAGATTCGCGGCTGATTTCCAACAACAACAACAACAACAGTAAGCCGAAGCAGCCCAAGATCCGCATCATCCACATATTTGCGCCGGAGATCATCAAGACCGACGCAGCCAACTTCAGGGAGCTCGTCCAGCGCCTCACCGGCAAACCCAACCACCCACGCCCACCCACCTGAAAAAGCAGCACCAACAACGACGGCAAGGGCGGGGAGTCAGTATCCGAGTTGTTACAGCGACGGCAACAACGACAACAACTCTTCCTCCTCCTTGCTGTTTGGTGGCGCCGGAGGGTTTGGGTTCGAGTTTCTAGGCAAACTCCGATACTGACACTTTCCATTTGTGATCGATTCGGTTGGAGCCAGAGAAAATTTCCAGCATCCGGATCGGAGCAGAATCTAGATGAAGGATGACGATTCTCTTCCAACATGGACGGCGATGGGCAGCTTGTTGAAGAAGGACACCTCCGATTCCTCTCTCTTCGGGAAAGGCAGGTACAAGTTCTGGGCCTTAGCTGCCATTCTTCTCTTGGCATTGTGGTCCATGTTCCCTCCGCTGGTCCGCCGGCAACCTCAACCGTCTCTCCGACGACATCGACACGCCTATCCACGACGATCTCGACGTCCTTGTAAAAATTCTCTCCATTTTGGGTTAAACGACTATGCGCCCAACGAAGCCACCGCTCCACCACCTCCTCCTCCGCCTACTTCTCCTCCACCACGCGGGGCTTGGCCGGCCGGGAGAGGTCGTCGACCTGAGGGGAGAGGAACGGCTACGGGCGGTGGAAAATAACAATTAAAAGGAATTAATTTTTTTTATTTTTATAATAATTAGGTGGAAAATAAAAAATAATTAAATTATTTTATTTTATTAATTTTTTAATCGCCACGTCACTCATTTAACGGTCAACTATAAGAGTTGACCGCCACATCAGAAAATGTTAACGGAGATTAACGGCCAGTGACCAAACTTGGACTGTTAACCTAATTTAAGTGACTATAAATGGAATAAATTAATTTGAGTGGCAAACGTGAAATTTTGTAGCAATTCGAGTGACCAAACTTGCAATTAAGCCAAAATAATAATCTCTTCCTTCCTCGGGCGCTTTCACCAGCAATGATTACTTTCCTTCGAGCTTTTGAGTTTTCGAAAGGATTTGGGGTTTAGACTTTTTGGAGATTTAAGAAGCGAAATAAATATTCAGAACCGAATCTGAGAATTTTTGGTTATCTTCCCTGAGCTGTCTGTCTGAAAGACCAGTTACGGTGATTACTAAGGGTAAATTGGGTATGGAAAAATAAATTATATTAATTAATTTTTTGTAAATTACATTTAAGGTAGTTACAAAAATCTATTAATTAAAAATCTCTCTTTCTCTCACTTCCGTAATCTCCAGCCAGATTTCCTTTTTATATTTTTCTCAATCTTTCTGCAAAAAAAAAAAAAAACCGAAATCAGTACCAATCCATTAGACAAACACTACCACTTTGAAAAATATCAATACCATTGCAGAAATAAATCTATACCATTACACGAAAACTACCATTGCAGAAATAAATTTATATCATTACACGAAAACTACCATTCAAGAAATAAAAACACTACCATTTCACAAAACATCAATACCATTCAAGAAATAAAAACACTACCATTTCACAAAACATCAATACCATTGCAGATTTAATCACTACCAATGCGACAAAATCAATACCAATGTAACAAAATCAATACCAATGCGACAAAATCAATACCAATGCAACAAAAATAATACCAATGCGACAAAAACTATACCAATACGACAATAACACTACCACTACGAAAAAATGACTACCATTTAAAAAAAATCACTACTAAAAAAAAATGACTACCATTTAAAAAAAAAACATACCATTCCTCCTCGTTCTCCTACTGCCTCGTCAACCGCGATTCCACCTCTTCCTCAACCCTAGACTTCAATTCTGCCTTCCCCGCCGACTCCGTGACGGCGAATCTGATGAAGAGCAGGAAGGTCGATACGTTCTACTACGTCGCCCTGAGCGGGATGAGCGTCGGCGGGGAGCTGCTCTCGATTCCGGCCTCGGTCTTCGAGCTCGACGAGGCCGGGAACGGCGGCGTCATCGTCGACTGCGGCACCGCCATCACGCGCCTCCAGACGGTGTGCAGGGGAGAGGAGGGGCGACGCCGGACTTGGCTTGTTTGTCCGGCGGAAATGCACCAGAACAACCAAAATTGGAGAGGGAGTGAGGAGGGATCGGAGGAGGCGGGCGGATGGTGGGGTAGAGAGTGGAAGAGAGGGGAGGGCGAGGGGAGGTGGGCGGAGGTGGGGGGAGGGGATGAGGGCGGGTGGAGGTGGGCGGCGGTGGGTGGAGGGGTGATGCCGTCGTCCAGGGTTGGTATGGAGGGATGGTAGATTAGGGTTTGAGTAGCATATATAGAATAATCAGGTGTGGACTCTTTTTTTATTCTAAAATTACCCTAAAATAAAATTAACCATGAGATTAAAAAAAGAGGAAAACAAGAAAAATGAACGACAGATAGTGATGTAGCCATGGTGGCTACTAAAATTTTAGTTGCCACCCTAACTCATCCCTAGCACTTGTAGTGGAAGGCAGCAGATAGGGCTGCAAATGAGCCAAGCCGCTCGTGAGCAACTCGGCTTTCGAATCGAAAAAAACTCGTTCGACACTCGAGTCGTTATTTAACAAGCCGGCTCGCGAGCCAACTCGTTAGTTAACGAGCCAAGCTTGAGCTAGACCATGCTCAGCTTAATAAGCTCGCGAGCTGGCTTGATTCTGTGGCTTGTTGAGCTAAGCTCGCGAGCTGCCTTGTTTAGAACTTGTGGAAGGATGAATTACTCTTTTAAACATGAACATTGTCTTGTTAATACAAATGTGTATGAAATTTAGATGTTATTTATAGTTTCTAGTGTTCTTTCTATCATTTAAATTCTTATGTTTACACATTTTTCCAGCAAGAATGATTTTAAATCGAGCTCATCTTGAGCCGAGCTTGTACTCAGCTTGACAAGCTATGTTAACGAGCATTTATCGAGCTCTACCGAGTCGAGCTCAAGCTAGTTTATTTTTATTCAAGCCGAGCTCGAGTTCGAGCTGGATTATCAAAATTCGAGTTCGAGCCGAGCTCGAGCTAAAAAATTAATAAACGAGCCGAGCTCAAGCTAAGCAAAAACTCGACTCGACTCGGCTTGTTTGCAGCCCTAGCAGCAGAGCATGGAGAGAGAACCAGAAACGGCGGCGTTTGTCACTTGCTTAGAAGTCAATAGCAACATTGTAGTCGGGCATCTTAGTCATTAATCATCATGCTTATCATTTATCAATGAGCTAAGCTATAATATATGAATATGATTAACTCTAACATTGGAAGTCTAACTACAATTATTACTTTTACCACCCTGATTTTCTCTGATTACCTAACTATTGACCCTCAAGCTTGAAGGAAGCTAACTAGTTTACATGATTTTTACCACTCAACTAACTTTTGAGTACCAAGTTGTTGGCTGCCAAAACTCTAGTGACCAAATTATAACTCTTACATCACTTTGATTCGCCGGCTAGGCAAACAGAACAGAAGTATAGTCCTTTCTTCTTCTTTCTTTCGCTCTTCCTCCCGAAGTCCGAAGCCAATCGATTATCCCATCAGTGAGTGATAAAGTTTCGATCTTAAAAGATTTGAAAGCGGTGGGATCTTCCCTCCAGGACTCAAAACATGCCCAGATAGTGATATGACGAATTTCCCGCGAAGATTCGCCATTGTACTCTTCTTCTTCATCTCAATCTCTTCGCAATCCAGAAGCACACGTTCTTCCACTGCCCCGCATCAGGTACTGAGGAATTAAGTTTTGGCGTTTTTTTCTTCGTTTCTTGCTCTTGATCGTTGCTTCAGAACCTGTCCTGAATTGTGTGGTAATTTGTTGATTTCCCCCAGGGTCATGAAGAATCTGCTGTTGCAAGGTAAAGTTTACGTTGATTGCTGGAATTCGCCTTCATTTTGGCATTGAATGAACAAGTTTTGGTATCCAAGACCACTCTATTAGCTGGATGGCCATGAAAGCTTGTACCTTTAGTTCTTTTGGCAATGTGTTCTTACACAGAGTTGATTGATGCTCAGAACCCTAGAGGAGGAGAAAGGGCATGCTCATGAGGTGCATTGTTCGAGAGAGCGGAGCAGGGCTGCGCGGAAAATTATCGAGCAGGTAATCCGATAGAAAGCCTGTGTTATTTCTATGAACTTCCACCAGATGTTTTGATCTTTGTGATGGTCGGTTTGTTTTCAGTACTTGATCCCCTTTGTTGAGAAGGAAAAGCACCACATTCCAAAGAAGTGCCCACTTCACCCTGAGAATGACCTCTACCGTCTCCAAGAACAGAGCAAAGCCCGTGAAGATATCAACCTATGGCGATGTGGGTACTGCAAAAAGACATTCTATGAAGAGAAAAATCTGGACAATCATCTAGATGAGTGGCACTTTGACACCTTAGATACGGTATGTTACCATGAAGTTCATTTCCTTGAATTTGTGAGTAGGCCGTAGGAGGTTCTTCCCTGGCCACTTAGATTGAGATAGCTGTTAAGTCCTGCCAACTGAATCTGTAATATCGCAGAAAAGGAACTTTTCCTCAGTCATATATCAACAGCTTGTTCTGAGAGGGGATTGTTCACTGTAATCTTTGAGAAATCTTCCTGTCTGTATGTCTTTGTTCATTTAGTGAATCAAACATTCATCTGCCGGACCTTTTGTTTCAAACATGGCTTCTGAATGACAGATGTCATACTTGTACTGAACCCAGAGTCCCGGCAGGTGCTTGGCAGATTCATGTGGTGCATTACACTGTGACCTCGTGATGGATTCACCACGCAAGACAAAGTGCAATCCAGCAGCTGCAGCAAGGAATAAGCATGCTTGTGAGGTGGGCTTATTTGTTGGTTACATGACCGTAACCATTTGTACAACAACTTCGCTGCTCGATGAGCCATTCATCTCATCAATATCATATTATGTGCAGAGTCTGGCTGATCGCTGCTTTCCAGTCCAGGACGGCCCCTCAGCTCGTCGTCTCAATGGTGATATTTCAATGCAACCTCAGAATCTGTTTCATGTAATCATATTCCTTAAAGGTAATGATGTACTATGTTATGATGCTTTATGGCTGGACAGATCTGTTCTTACGGCAATTTTGTGATGCCCACACTTGCAAGGGAGGCCGGAAGCCATTCTCAAGAGGAGGCAAGGTAATATACCTTCTTGAGTACATATGAGTTAGTTTTCAGCTTTCATTTCCCTAGTTAACTAATGTTCGTTCCTTGTTTTGCTCACCTAGATTTTTCATCTCATTTTTCAAAACTTGCAGAAGAAGAGGAACGTGCTCTATATAGTTGCTTCAGTCCTGGTTTTATTTCTGATATTTCTCTTCTACCTCTTCTTGTACTTGTATGAAAGGTATAGCCAATTTGCCAACTTCCATTAATGACCTTGATTCCTATGTCGGCAAGTGGCTTGATACCGTGCCATTGTTGATGGTGCAGGGGCATGAAAAGAGGCGGCCAAGGGCTGAAGCGGATTACCAAAAGTGGACAGAAGAAACAAAGTTGATTAACTGTTGCAGGTGTTTTCTTGCTGGCTTTCTTATTTACCTTCTAAAGTGATACTCATTGAGATAGTTCAAATATTGAGAATATTCATTCTCTATATCTTCTGTAGTAGATGTTTACATACATGCATGTGAGGTTCTGATTATAAATTTTTACAAAGACAAACTTAGATCTCTCAGCTATTGAACTCTCTCAAACTATATCAATGTCGATGACTTTGCGGCTGATACTGGCTTTAGGAATGGTGACATACAGCACCCCATCTTTCACTTCCGCCTTAATTTTCTCGTACTCGATATTGTCTGGTAAAGCAATTCTGAAACTGTACTTGCCATAGCTCTTACTCGGCCAATCTTCACCACTCTCAGCAGCCTCACCATTTCCATCCTTATCCAGGACCTTTTCGCCCTTCAAAACCAGCATATTGTCTTCAGCCCACAGCTTGACATCGTTCTTCGTCATGCCAGGCATGTCGAACCTCAATCCATACTCGTTTTCACCTTCCTGTATTGCCCAAGGCGTCCTTCCCCTTCCATACCCATCTCCCTGAACCGGAGAAATCGCAGTAGGCCACAAGCCACTGCTGTAGGAAAAGGGATCATCCATGATCCTGTTCATTGTGTCTATCATCTGCTGCATTGTCCTTGCTGCTGGAAACCCATCCCACAGCCCTGCAGGAAAATAAAAACTTCAGTTCAGCATACTGAAAACAGGAGTTACAAAGGGAAAAGTTGTGAGCATTTGAAAGTTATACGAGATGTCAAATGAGCTAGTTAGCTTACCAGTAGGTGCTGCAACCTGCTGACTTTTCTTTGGTTGGGGCTGTTGTTGATTGCCAACTCTTTGCAAACTGTCAAGGTTGTCTCTGTTCTCGGCCATAACTTTGACCGCATTGCAAGCAGTTCCTCTGCCATTGTTGTTGCCTGGCCATGGAAGCTTGGGGAAGCAGAGTTTGTTGCTGAGTCTCTCGGTAGAAAAAGTGGAGAATGGTGTGCAGATGTGCAGTTGTGAAGCCATTGTGTAAAGCTTGAAGTTTTTGATTGTGCTGTGGTTTCTTCAGTTGAATTCAAATGTGTTGTTCCTATAGAGCCTTAAGGAGATGGTTATATATATATATATTGAAAATAGTAAGGATCAACGAGACATTTCTCGAACTTGGGTGGCTGGCCTGGCAAATGGCCCTTTCTAGACTTCTCTTACTGTCTTGCCCTTTCTAGACTTCTCTTACCGTCTCCCCGCAGCGGCCCATATTTGTCCAGAAACGGGTCGAAACTTCAAGAGGCCCGCTTGAATTCCATAAAAAAAACAGGGATAGATGGTGCTCCGTCGCGTCAATGGATCATGTGATTATTGGTTGAGCCTTACTACCAATCAAAATTTTGTTGGCTACTTCCTACTTAAATCATACGATTACCTAAATCATTGGTCAAACCATCAGAAGGAAAACTGTATACGCCAATATCTTCACTACATAATAATGGACTATACGTAAAGTCAGACGAATGCATCCCCAAAGGAAGCACAATTGGATTAGTTCTTCTTATCATAAATGGTACATGCCACATACAAGTTTGACTAACTGAGAGGACAACCCATGAAACAAGCCATTCTGCCTTCTGATACAACTGTCCTTTACAGAAACATTTGATACAGAACCAGATGGTGGGTTTGAAAGTATCAAGCACTGCTGTCAAGTTGGTGCTGATAAGTGAGAAGACCTTCAAAAATCGACAACTTTCAGTCCATGGACCAAGCTTTCAGAAGTGTTACCTTCCATATTCAAATGAATCAAAAGTCAGCTTAGGATGATGCTGCTGACGATGAACAGCCAGCAAAGCTTCTCCTACCTGGATCTCGACTGAGTCCATGCCTCTTCAGTGTCCTGATATAGTCTTTGCTGAGAGAGAACTTATTGCTCCCAAGGTGAAAGAAATAGTCCCATGTATAGATTCCAGTCTTGTGCAAATCATCAAACACTATTCTGAAAACACCAGTGTTGAAAGACATTAGTTAAGTATTACTGGAAGGGAAAAGAATCAGCAGTGTCATGTAAAGATTTGTTTAGTCTCAGCTTGCAGGAGTACCTTATCCCATAGTTTCCTACAGGTTCTGCAGACATGATTCCCACGTGACGCCGCCCTGATATCACCTGTTGATATGACGAACAACGATCAGGAGTACTAATCAATGGAAATGGAGATTGGCAACGAACTTATCATAGTTTTATTACCTTCTCACCACCAATGGATCTAAGTTTGCCATCCACAGCTGGGCTGTGTATTCTTAGGAATTCAGCTGACAGGCTGAATTTGTCACCATTGCCATACTCCACCTCTACCTGGAACCGGGTTCAAATAAAGGAGAACAGTCATTTCAGCTCTAATCCAGCCACGGTGAATGTTCCATCCATCAATCAGCCAACCAACAGTTCTCACGATTCCAACCAGAAAAAGAAAAGGAATTAAGGAACTTCAAAAAACCCAGCACGATTTTGAGCGAATAGAGCCACATGGGCACTCATCTGGCTCGAAAGATCATAACTTCATCACTGAATTTCAAATCGAACAAAAAATATCGACATTGCCGAGCTTGGGGTTGAATTGAACCGAAACCGGGTCCGATAAGCATAAAACGGATTGGGAGCTTACCCTCTTGGGCGCTCGAAGAGTGAATTTGGTAAGCCGCGGAGCAACGACGTTTGTGTGGATTGCCCTGATTGCTCTGGGTATAGTCAGCATAACTCCCGGCGAAACTGTGGAAGCTCCGGCGAGTCGAGAGAGGACTGTCGACGAGGTTGAGACTTAGGTCACCCAATTCGTGGGTTTAGGTCCCACAATCCCGCTCTAAAGCGGCAAAACGCGTTTTACGGGTAATTCGCAAAAAAATCGCGAATTATTTATACTTGGAGCGCGAATCTGATTCGGGGGAAACCTATTTCTTGGAGCACTGCCATATAAGAGGTGAGGAGGGCCAACGACCGTCGGCGATAACTTTGGGCATGAGTTGCCGCTGCTCTGTTTTGGTGTACTTGAAAACAGAGATCAAACTTATGATCGATTCCTCGGGTCCCTTAGGCTTCACAGCTAGAACTTTGTCGCGATTATGATTTATGTCATTGATGGAGAGGACGGAGAACCTGGTGTCGAGAGATGCAGCGGCCAGGGAGATGGGTAAAGTTCAAAGCCGTCTCTGTTTTCTGGGTTCTTAGGGCCCGTTTAGTATCATTTTGTTGTTGTTGTGGTTCCAGTGGTGTTGTGTAAATAGATGTACAACCACAACAGGAAAAAAACAGAAAACACAAACCTGTTTAGTTGATAAATCTGAAAAATCATGAAAGCTGACAACAAGAAACAAAAACGCGTTTAGTTACTACTGTACATGCCACAAAACAAAGAACCATTTTCATCACCATTTTCAACAATTTTCTCCATAACAGAGGTAAACCACAAAACAAAGAACATAGCAATCAATCCAAATTCATAAATAACTAATCTAGCAATCACTACATACAATCATACATGCCAAATTCATCAACATATTCAGAAAGTATAGATTAACATAATACTTTGAAGAAGTTGAAGTTACCTGCTGTGGGGAAGATGAAGTGAGGTTTTTGTGGAGGGGAAGTGGTCGGCGGCGGCAGGGGGGACTGGCGACGGCGGCGAGGCGCACTGGCGGGTCGGCGGGCTACGCGGCGGAGGTTTCGTGCTGCTCGGCGGGCTGGGTCGGCGGCGCGGCGGAGAGGTCGGGCGCGGAGGCGGAGGGCGGCACGGTGGAGGTGAGGCGGAGGTGGCGCCTCTGTTGAGAAGGGTGGCGGCCGACCTCTGTTGAGAAGAGTTTGGGGGAGAAGGGTTTGGGGGGGGGGGGGGCGGCTGATAAGTTGAAGTAGGGTTGGGGGCTGTGTTAAAAAAATAACATTTTTTTGCTTTTGTGGGGATTCGAAAACTGGTCTGGTTTAATGAAATCAAGTGCCCAACCAGTAGGAATCCCGTGTGCAACATGTTTAAGAATCAGATCCAAAGCAATAAATTGTTGTTTCTCATATTTGGGCCCTGTTGTGCAACTCTGATTCACAACAGAAAATAAAAACCCAACTAAACACGATTTTTTTTCTTGGTTTTCCAAATTTCATAAAACAAAACAGAAACAAAAAACAAGCAACAATACTAAACGGACCCTTAGTGAAGAAGAACAGACTTTGTTGCATTGGATTAGATTTAGCACTTTAACTGTGGGCTTTAATTGTGCTAAGCCCATATGAGAAGTAGGGCCGCACACTACCTAGAAGGGATCCTTCTCTTTTTAAATTTGTACACTTCCCCCAATTCTGTAATTTGAAAGAGATTTGAGTTGTGGAAGAGAGAAGTATATTTGTGAATTTTTTTAAAAAAAATTTCTTGCTTGTATTTTGTTATACTATAACCTAAGAACTAGTATTTTGTTTAAAATATTAATAATGATATAATATTAACGCTCTGTTCACGCTTTTAATGTTGGATTCTGTACAAATTGACATTCTCACTCTCCTTTCACGCGCTGGTTACCTAAGTTGAGACACAAAGAACATATCAGGATCCTCAAGACTCTTCAAAGGAAGGTCTTTGATTGGGCTTTCATGACCTCGTTCAAACCGACACATTTGGGCTAAGTGTGGCCGAACTACTTGCTCCCAAACTTCTGAGTAATAATACATCATGGAAATGATACCAGAACGAAACGAATATCTCAATATCACTTTGTATAAACAATGTAAAGATTATTTGATTATGTGTTGATTCATGATTAGATTGAAAAAGAAAATAACACAAACAACTCTTTTTTTTTCCCCCTTCTTTGTATGAAGAAAGGAAAACTATAGTGACAAATACACTCAAATTAGTGAAAGTGGGGATGGACTTTTACTTGAAAACAAATTGAGAACCATACAAGTTCGTGTAAAAGCAAAAATATTATACATTAAACTCACATTGCTTACATTTTCATTTAGTACTCTTTTTAAGCAACGTCAATATTCAAAAAAATCTATGCCAGATCAAAATTGTCCCAAACGAAAAAAAGGGAGTTATGATTTGTGATGCCCTTACCTTGTGTAGAAGCAGGAGGTTAAGGTAGGATTAGACAATGGAGCATCTTTGGCTTTGTGAACTAAGCATTGAATCTAGGCCAACTTTTGTCACATTATCCTCTTTTTAAATAAAAGATAGATTAATCAATTAATTGTGCATACAAAGCTGTTTACAGAATTAATAAAAGAGCATATTAAATCACCCTCATCATCATCGTGTCTATGAAATTGTTCTTTCAGCAAATATGCTTTGGTATTTGGCTTAGTACTTTTACAGTATGATATAATAACCAATAAACCAAATTTTAGTACTTAATAATTTAATATGATGGTGGGTGGGAACACTTGTCGGCATTGCTACAGAAAGAATCCATTTACCTTAGTTTATTTTCAACCGATGAATGACGGTTTAATCTAACTGTATTATTATTAGTGTTCGACTTAAAACTTTCATGATCGGACTTAAGATAAAATCTTCCTTCTCATAAACCCTCTTTAATAGCCAATTGATGAGGTTGATGGTGACGATAATGAGATGTTAGATTGATGACAAAAGCCCACATGTTTATCCACCAATTAGATCAATCTCATTAGGGAGCAATTAAATATAAGCACCCATTTTTCCCTTCACCTACTTGATGTTTGATATGGCAATCTGAATAACAACTTGAGCTTCCTTAATCATGCGCCAACTAACTAATTAATTAACAATCCCAGGCTGTCCCTGTCCAATTATATTTAATATAATAAGACCATTAATTAGCACACTAAACTTCTAAAACCTATCGTATCCTTGTTTTCTTCCATTGTGGTTTGGGGCTGAGGATATTCTTCTCCTGCCTTAGATAAGACAATCAACTTAGTATCAAATATACAGCTAGCTAGCTAGCTAGGTGATCAAGCTTTTCTTTCGTATTAGTTATACCAACCATTTAGAAAAAAATTTGGGGAGAATTATTTGAGCTTTAATATTTGTCATTCCAAATTCCAACGAGGCAGGCAAACTTTGCCACTAATTATATGAAACTTCAACAAATATGTAATAGCATATTGAATATAATCGCACTCTAGCAGTCTAGCTTGATGACTTTGGCTAGCAAGTGATTATACATATTGCCTATTGGGTGGTGTGGTGGGGACTTCTGGTTGTTTGTCTTATGATTGTAAAATTGAGGTTTTCTCTTTTCATCAGATTGAAGAAGGGTATCTGATTTCTTTTTTATTTAGAACAGGGCGCTAAGGGCGCTCTAATATTTATTCCGGACGAATCAGGTGGGGGAGTTTGGATCCCCAAAGTGTCATGGTACAACCAGTAAGCTAGAGAGCTACTCGGGCTGTCAAAAACTGGTGCCCAATCTGAAATGAATGACCTATATAAGCAAGATAATCCGCGACGTAGTTAGCTTCGCAGTACACATGATCAATGGGAACTATCCAGGGTCGAACCAGCAAAGCCCGGATTTCCGCCACCAAGTAGGTGAAGGGAAATATGGGTGCTTATACTTTTAACTCCAAGATTAAGTATAAGCACACATGATTTATATTTGTCATGACTGAAATTTACGATACGTTATTCCAGCTGAAAGTAATTTTGAGAGTAAATATTAGTATTTTTTCCAGGTTGTTTCATCACAGTCTCTAGTATGTTTTTTTACCTTCACAATATGGAGATTGTATGTCTTAACTAAATTATTTTAATTTTGACATAATGATTCATAGGATTCGAGTCGTTCTAGTCTAGCCATCCTCTTTGTCAGTTTTAAATTTGATGGTGTTTTTCCTTGAGACCCAAATTTTTGTATCCCGCATATTAGAATGAATCAACCTAATATCATTTACCGTTCATACCAATTTATCCAACTTAACTTATGTAAGAGCTATATACAACACTCGAAAATAGAGTATATACAAGAATATGAATATTAACTATTAAGATAAATATGTGGTCATTACCATCCCTATATATTTTCCTTGGTAAAGTTACCATGGACTATAATCTGAATAATTAATTCTATGTATGTATTATTATCAGTTGACTTGACTTCGATGAAACATTGGAAATTAGCCTACCATTAACTGTCTTCCCTCAATCAAACAGTGCAAACAGCCAGTTGATTAAAAGTGTTTTATTTATTTACGTACTTGACTTTACCAATCAAGTCTTCCTCTAATCATTGTAGTCTGGTATTAAATTAAGGACTTTGCTACGGTGACATGCATGTCATGGTGACATGCACTTTTCGGTCGACCTCATATAGGATCAGGTCGACCTAATCAGTTGTTTCAGTGTACAAACAGTTTCATGGTGCCTACTTTGGAGATTCATATCTTACAATTGGCTAGATGGAAATTGGAGATTAAAGACTTGTTTTGAAGCTGAAGTGTCCCTCTACACGTTAAAGTACTTGGGAGCTCAATAGAAAGTCCAGAAGACCATTTTTGAACCTGATCAAAAGGCTATGCCAAAACTGGGAAACTGCCTGAAAATGGCTAAGTCTGGCAACGTGTTTGTCAAGCCTACTTTGGAGCTCAATTTGACAAGCATGGATGCGAGTCCAGTCCAGGGGCCTTTACCACGTTAAATTATGTATTTTTTTATACAAAGGCAAGGCATTGAATGTAAGATTGAATATCTTTAAGGGTTCAAACAATAGGCTTCACAAACACGTTTCCAGACTTAGCCATTTCTAGGCAGTTTCCCAGTTTTGGCATAGCCTTTTGATGGGGTTCAAAAATGGTCTTCTGGACTTCCTATCGAGCTCTCAATCACTTCAATATGTAGAGGGACACTCCAGCTTCAAAACAAGTCATTAGTCTTCAATTTCCATCTAACCAATTGTATGATATGAATATCCAAAGTAGGCACCATGAACTGTTTTTACACTGAAACAACATATTAGGTCGACCGGATCCTATATGAGGTCGACCGAATCCTAAATGAGGTCGACCGGATCCTATATGAGGTCGACCGAATTCTATATGAGGTCGACCTAATCCTAACTGAGGTCGACCGGAAAGTGCAAGTCACCGTGACATGCATGTCACCGTAGGCACACCCTTAAATTAATTTAATTGAAAGTGGCAACCCACCAAATGCATA